TTTTTTTTTTTTTTTTTTTTTTTTTTTTTTTTTTTTTTTTTTTTTTTTTTTTTTTTCTTCGCGATCCTCCATCTCATCCGCATCCCGCGTAATCGTCCCACTTACGTGGCTGAATGACATGCCTCTGCGTTTTTCCGCTCTTACATATGTATATACATATCCAATAGATACGTTTATAATACATATATATGACGTCGAATCGATACGGCTGCTACTTGCCGCCGCCACCGCGCTCTGCTACACACTGCAGTGGAAATACCTATACGTGCGGGTATCAGCAGCGGAGTCTTTTATTGTCCTCTCCTCGTCCTCTTCCACCTCTGTAATGTATATTATATATGTGTGTGTGTGTGTATGTGTATGTACATGGGTAAACTCGCTGCTATTTTACCTTGTTTTGTCGTTTATCGATCTGGACGTTGTGTATCAATCGACGTTTAATAACGTCCCGCCGATTTTCGTCGATAGCAGAGCGGAGCCCTTCGGCCTGTACTTTTGTCCCTTTAATCTGTACACGTATTGGAAGGCCACTCTTTGTCATATGAAGTTCTCGTCGTTTGTTTCTACATTTTAGTTTTCGACTTCGGCTCGAGATGGTGGTTTTTTTTTTTTTTTTTTTTTTTTTTTTTTTTCCAACTAAAACATTTACCGATTTCCAGAGTGATGTAAATGGCGCTGCAAGTACGGTTCGATGAATAATTTGTACGCTCGTTATCGTCGTCAAAGGGTTTCTTGCTTGGACGTTGGAGTCAGTTTTTTTTTATTCATCACTCGAGTTTTCATCGGATGTATCGGGAAAAAAAAAAGAAAAAATATTTGAGTTTCCAAAACGTACGTGGAAAATCTGGAAAGTTCGCAAAAGCAACACTCTCGCACCACCGACTACCTCAAATTTCGAAAGGGCTTACCATTGATAATATATACCCATTGTTAACCAGACAAAAATAAAGCAGTACAGCAAAAAAAAAAAAAAAAAAAAAAAAAAAAAAAAAAAAAAAAAAAAAAAAAAAAATGAAAAATAAATACAAAGACCAAACAAAAGCCCGACCGGAGTGAAAGAAAGAAAGAGAAAAAAAAGAAGAAAAACTCCAAAAGGGGTTGATTTTCCATTTCTATGGAGAGACGCGTGAATATTTCGTGCTCGAGTGAATGAAAATAGCAGCGGCGCACGACAAGGGCAGGAGTATCGTAAGTGTGTCACGACACCCCTAATGAGTGTATGGCCGATGCACCCTACGCGCCGTACGATTTTTTTCTCTCCCCAATCCACCCTTTGCTCCTCCTCCTCCACCAGCTTTTGTACACATTTTTTTATTAATTATAATCACTTGCAGCGAGAGCTGCTGCAATTCATACATGCGCAGGTTATTCATCGCGCCATCGTCATTTTTTTTATGACAAATTATAATAATAATAATCATCGCCGTCGTACATGGCGGGAAGGCAACAGCAAAACTCGACGGTTGAATGGTGGTTTTTTTTTTTTTTTTTTTTTTTTTTAAATAAAAATTGTCGCAGCATCGGCATCAGGCGCAGGGGAAAATGACGGCAGCAGTGACAACGACGACGACCACGAGAATGATGCTGCGTCAGACAACGAGGACAGCATCATCATCATCATCATCATCATCATCACCGGCAGCAGCGAAACAACGGAGGGCCCGACGGGCGTGAGAGGAGGGGGCGGAGGTGCGGCACCACCGCTGGCATGGATAACTTATACCCGAATCATCAGAGCCCAAACGAGACGGTGCAGGGAGCAGCCGAGTGCAGCGAGCACGAGTTCGACGTCGGCTCGGACCTGAGCCTATGGCAGGCCTGGCTGGTGATCCTCGTGCTCGGGGTCCTCATAATCCTCACCATCCTCGGCAACTTTCTCGTGATAATGAGCGTGTTCACGTACCGGCCGCTACGCATCGTCCAAAACTTTTTCATCGTTTCGTTGGCCGTGGCCGATCTCGCGGTCGCCATCCTCGTGATGCCCCTCAACGTAGCCTACTTCGTCCTCGGCAAGTGGATCTTCGGCATTCACGTGTGCAAGCTGTGGCTCACCTGCGACGTGCTCTGCTGCACCGCGAGCATCCTCAACCTGTGCGCCATAGCCCTCGACCGCTTCTGGGCCATCACCGATCCGATCAACTACGCCCAGAAGCGCACCCTGAAGCGCGTCCTGGGCACCATAGCCGGGGTGTGGCTGCTCTCGGGGGCGATAAGCTCGCCACCCCTGGCAGGCTGGAACGATTGGCCGGAGGAGTTGGAGCCGGGCACGCCCTGCCAGTTGACGCGCCGCAAGGGCTACGTCGTCTACTCGGCACTGGGCTCGTTCTTCGTGCCCCTGATCATCATGAGCATCGTGTACGCGGAGATATACCTGGCGACGAGGCGTAGGTTGCGCGAGCGGGCCAAGCAGAGCCGGTTGGGGGCGATGTCGACGACGGGGGCCAGGGCGGCCGGAGGTGGGGCGGGAGCGGACAAGGCCGAGCGACATCGGTTGCAGGGGCACGATGGTGCGGTTGGCCCGGGGGGGGAGGAGGGCCAGCTCGGGGGTCAGCCGAGCTGTTGCGAGCCCGACGACCTCGAGGAGTCGCTCAGCTCCGAGACGAACCACAACGAGTACACGAGTAGCAGCCGGTTGCAGCCTACCCCGACGATCGCGAGGCACGCTGGTGGGGACGCTATCGTGGCCAGCGAGCACCACCAACCGGCGACCCCGCCCAAGGCCTCGGGTGAGTGTCGCATCAACACTTGTACACTTAAAAATTTATAGTGGAGTTGATTTCGTTTTTTATGTACACCAGGACAAAAAATTTCATCGAATCGGTACATACTGTACCATCGTAATTTATTTGCCGTTTGGGTGTAACGTGAAATACCCCAAAACGATTTTTTTTTTTCAGGTGATGAGAATCACTATATGGTAGATAGTGTTTTGCGTCCAACGCTTCTTAGCATCTGAAAATATTACAATTTCATTGAAATTAATTTTTTTTTTTTTGTTTGTATTCAAATAAACGTTTATTTTGCACAAAATTTTGGAAATAAAAAGCGTGTCGAACGAGGAAAACTTTTTTTTTTCCATACGAAATTGATATCGATTCTATTTTATTCGTCCGAAACGTCAAGCTAATCAATGTATCCTTAAATAGTATACAACATATTCTGGGACTTTCAAGGCACAAAATATCCATTCAATTGAAATAATACTCTCTATTTGTCTTTTTTATTGCTCATAAGACTCGATTCTCAATTTTTTGTCCTCTGGTAAAAAACGTAAAAGTCCCGAGCGAATCGCGCGCGCAGTAACAATAATAATAATAATAATAATAATAATAATAGAAAGGGGGGGAAAAAACGCAGGCACCGGCAGCAGCTCCGGCTCGGGGGGCCACACGCGCCGCGGCGGGCCCGGCACCCCCGGTACAACCTCGACCGTCTACCAGTTCATCGAGGAGCGGCAGCGCATATCCCTGTCGAAGGAGCGCCGCGCCGCCCGCACCCTCGGGGTCATCATGGGCACGTTCGCCGTGTGCTGGGTGCCCTTCTTCCTCACCTACGTCGTCGTACCGTTCTGCAGCAGCTGCTGTCCCTCCGAGCAATTCATCTACTTCATCACCTGGCTCGGGTACTTCAACAGCGCCCTCAACCCCCTCATCTACACCATATTCAACATCGACTACCGGAGGGCCTTCCGACGACTCCTACACCTCAACTGAACGACACCGGCTGAGTATAACACTCATACGCTCCCTTAATCTCTCTCTCGCTTCCGTTGATAAATATACCAATCGAAAGGCCACCCCCTCGATCGAGGGGTGCATAGATCGCATCTCTCTCTCTCTTTGATTCTCCAAAGGCGCGTACACGAGCGAGAGATAAGAGCCGAAGGTCGACGCGTTAATTCCAACGAAGGTTCTCGCCGGGGAGGACGATTTATCGTGCCCTGCAAGTTCTAGGCCACTCGGTACGAGGCGCATTGGATTTCCAGCACCGTGTAGGTATACTCGTCACTGCCTCGGGGGGAGAGAGAGAGAGAGAGAGGGGGAACCTAAAGGGAAGCCGGTGAGAGAGGTGTTTGCCCACCGGCTGAGCTGTGCGCCGGCCTCACTACGAGGATCTCTCTTCTTCTCTCCCGATCGGGGAAGAAGAAAACAAACAAAACAAAAAAAAAAGACACGGTCGGGTGGTGGATTACCCATTGTTCTTTTTGTTCCTTCCTCAAGGCCGCGTCCCTCTGTTTTTGGGTTTGGAGTCCCGCTTTGTCGAATCAATCGCTTCCGAATCTTCCGTACTTCCGATCAATGTGGGCTGAGATCTTGATAAAAAAAAAAAAAAAAAAAAATTACATCGAGAGAAAAAGAGAGAGAGAGAGAGAGCGGCGATGCTTGTCGCGAGGGGATGAAAGTGCAGAGAGACGCGTGTCTGTACTTATCAAAAAATACGTGTATACAACGTATGCACGCAGAGACCAATGGATAAATAAAAAGGGCGCGTCCGATGCTCCGAGGTACTTTATCGCGCAAAGTGGCGCCTTCTCACCGAATCGTGTGTTGTAGGTACATATACTTTGTACTTACCGATTCCCGTGCGTATATTGTTGCGTAATATATCGCACGCGGAGTGTATATACACACGACGGAGAAGGAAAATAATAATAAGCGCGGCAATATACGACTCGACTTGTGAATGCTGTGAGGCGAAAATAATATTAATAATACTTCATAGTGATCGTTGATTCGTACGCGTCACTTCGGGACACTTAACGGTTGTGAACAGCATTTAATAATTGCTATATAACTATAAAACGTAATGCAAAACAATATTATAACGTTATGGCTTCTCAAACGATGAAATTTATTTTTTTTTTTTTATAGAATTTATGGGTTCGAGTATACATTATGTAATACACAATGTGACGATTTTTTTTTTTTTNTTCCGACCGGCTCCTACACCCGTCGTTGAACCAACCGACTTTGGAGCTCGCTTTTAACCATACGTATCATGAGTTTATCGATAAATCGGTTCATACTGTTTTCTTTCATTTAACAGTCAGTCACGTGCAAGTGGATTTTTCGTTTGTTACTGCAGGGGGGGGGCATCAGAATGCAGGGTAGTGGCTAGAATTCGAGGTCAGGGGGGATTATTGATTTATATACATTGTGTGAGAAACTTAATCTCATTAATCCATTTATGTGACCGGCTCGAGGGAGGGAGCGTGTCTGTCGCATGTGATCGAATTAAGCGATCAATTATTGAGCTGGCAAACAAATGGATTAACGAAAAAGTCAACGAATGAACTATTTTAACATCGATTGCACAAATAACGAAGGAAATGTGTTGTGTATTTTTAATAACTTTTTTTTATTTTGTAATTGCTTTCGAGACACATCTTGGTTAATTAATCAATCACTAGAAATGCCGTTTTTCACGTTTACGTTTGAATAAACTTGAATTGAGACAATGTGATTGTTTTAATCTCCTAGTTATAACAACTTCATCACGGGTCGCTTTTCCAGTGTTAACACAAATGAGTAAATGAATAATAAAAACGAAAATCCTCTAGATCAGTCAAACAGTACGTTATAAAGGCACAAACAATTAAATCTATTTATTCTATCTTTTTGGCTACATTGAGTCAATGAACGAATATTAAGGTTTTTTCTGATATTGTGTGGTAGATTAGCTCAAAATTTAGGTCGTATTTTTTCTCCGACACTTCAAAAAGCTTTTCTTTGATGTAAATATGAAGAACGTTTGGAGCTAAACTGGCAAAAAAAATGATGAGAGATATCTAAATGCCAAAAATTAGTTATTTTGTCGATTTTTTTTCTTTAAAACCATTTTTAGCTGTGAAATGATGAGATATGGTCCTACGACTTTTTAATAAAAGTTTAAAATGTCCATGTATCGCATGAAATGGGATACACGTATCGATGTAAAAATTATTATTTATTAATATACTAAGGAAATGAATGCATTAAAAAATGAAATAACATTGTATGCGATTCTAAAGCTCGTTGCTATCAATTTACTCGAATAAAGAAGGTTGGAACATTTGGGACTCAATGTTTGAGAGGAAGGGGTTCTTATTGGCTACGGTCCTGGGGTCTGATCGCCCCATCGAGTTCGAGTTTTGACTGTCACATTATTTTAGGAGTAAACGAAATTGTGACGTCAACGTAACATCCCCCCACCCAGATCCCAGATCGAGTGACAGTCCAAACTCGAACTCGACCGCGTACATCTATGATGAGACCCCCTCTCGAGACCACAAGGGTTTGAGCTGACGAGCCATGCATATTTCTCGTTCACAAAGACATTTACTGTTTATATTTTATTGTTACTGTGTAAATCTTGTAAAAGTTTTATGCGTGAATAAAAACTTTATTGGTGATATATACATTATTGAAATTTTTTTATCAATATACGCCTCTTCACTCGCAATCGCAACATTAAAATCTGTCAAGGTTTCACTACGGACTTTTTCATCTAAAACGTTAGATTACTGCAAAAATAATAATTTACAAAAAAAAATTCTAAAACGTAGTGCTTGGCTATTACAACACAATGCGTGAGTTGTATACACAATATTTCCGAGTTGGCAAGGACAATCGATTATACAGCTTGTGTATACACAATAACGCGGTATTACGGAGTACAAAAAATGAAAAAACAACGGGACATTTGCCATCGACCCGATTGTAGTATAGGTACTTGAAAAGAACATATACGTACCGAAAAAACATGTTTGTCGCTTGTTTTACGTTAAATGAGCACAATGTAACTTTTTTTCATTTTTTTCCACCGCATATTATGATAATAATAATAAATGCAACTCAGGATAAACAGTTGGAGCGTCCGAACGGCATACAGTCGTCACAACTTTCAAAGCTGACAATACCTGCGTAGCAAAGAAAGAAAGAAAAAAAAAAAAAAAAAAAAAAAACTATCCCTTCTTTTTTATACACCGACTTTAATAAACGATCCCTTTTTTTTCAGGTCAAATAAATACAAAAAACCTGTATGACAGCCAAAGTTAATAAATGCACATTTAGACCGAGTAAAATCAAATTGAGAAAGAAGACGTTTAACGGCCGCGTCGTTCTTTTTGCGCTCATTTAAATCATTAAGACATTATGACGATAATTAGGAAGCTTTCCATGAAAAATGCTCATTTTGAAAAGAAAAAAAAAAACGATCGCAATTAGCTCACTGAGAATAATGATGATAAGTGATTAAATTGAGCTTAATACAAACGAGCGCGAAACGAACGCACGTAAGGGTCCGGTTGGCGAAAAAGAAAAAAGAAAAAAAAAAAAAAACGCGTCTATACGTACATATAGTTAATTACGCATCTAAATACTCTATTGGTTGTGATTTACAAGTATAGCAATATTGCGAATAGCCGCGAACGCGCTCCGCATACGTATTCCACGTATACACTTGAGCCGTTTCCACGCTGATGCTGTATAGCGTAAACCGTAAGGAATAAGAAAATGTTAGGTATACCTTAGTGGTGGAGTAAGACAGCGTTAGGTGGACAGGTACTTGTTCCGTGTACGGCTTATGGCATCAACATGGGATCGGCCTTACAAGTGTCCGCACAAGTTCTTGGCTCCGAAAGCTTATTTATATCCTATACTTGCCTGAACTGTACTTACAAAACAGTTTTTCTTGTGGACAACCACGTCAGATGAAAGTTTACCTCCGATTTGCGTAATTTTACGTTATTTTGTGCGCACAGTAGCGTAAGAACACAAGTAGGGACAATCACAATGAAGACGAAAAAACAAATTCAAAATTCCCGTTTTTGTCGTGGGAGCAAGAATTCCTGCAAACATTGAATTTATAGATCTTCGGATTTAAGTTGTCAGGCAAGATACGGTATAATAGGAGCGATCGTGCCAAAAGATGACGTATGATGTACAGTTATGCGCGAGCCAGTCGCTTAGCCATGTAATTAAAAAACAAAGGGATAAAAATAAGAAATTAAAAAAAAAAAANTACTGATCTTAGTAATAAAATTAGCTATTATGTTTATTATAGTTGGATTCAAGTCAAACAAAAAAGCATTCAATGAATACGGTCCATATAATTGTGACTTTCTTAAATTTTTAAACATTTCTTTTCTTTCTTCGTCGAACAGTTCGCATTGCCAAAAAATATGGTCTATAGTTTCTGAGCTTTTTCCGCAATCGCAAAGATCAGAGTTTACTATTTTGTACTTAATAAGACTAGATTTCATAGACGTATGATTAGATCTTATTCTATTTAAGGAAACTATTGCTTTCCTCGACAAGTTGAAGCCGTTGAACCAAGGTTTATGACTGCTATTGAAAAAGTTTTGAAAATACGTGATACCTTTGTTTTCTGCTTCAGCAAGAAGCTTTATTGTATTTAATGCATTGGTTTTTGATTTGAAGGTACTTATTACGTCAGAGAAGGGGATTCTTAAATTTAATAGTAAGCCATGTTTAGCAGCTGCTTTTGCGTCTCTATCAGCCATCTCATTTCCATGGATACCTTTATGAGCTGGTATCCATATAAGATCGATTGTTTTACCTAATTCTATCAATAATAAATAAAAATGTTTCAATTCCAAAATCAGAGAAGAAGAAGAATTATGTCTGATTGCTAAGAGCACACTGAGAGAGTCAGAGAAGATTCTGAAATGTATATTGGGGTTTTGTGCTATAAGTTTGAGTGCTTGGATTATGGCTAGACATTCAGCAGTAAAAATTGAGGACTTGTCAGGAATATTGCGAGCAAACCATAGGGAATCAACTGAACTCCATACGGAAAATCCTACTCTACTAATGTTACCTTCTACAATTTTAGATCCGTCGGTGAATACGTTCAAATACTTTGACTCTGTTGGATTGTTGAACGTGACATTAAAATCATAATTAGGCAATAATGATTGCATCAGAGGCTTACATATATCGAGATCTGTTTTTATATTTGTGAACAAATTTTTATATTGAGTCGAATATTTGTAATGTAGTTCACTGGATTTGATCAATCCATTTAAATGCCAGCTGGAAAATGGAAAATCTTACATGGGCACACTATCGCCACCTGACGGTAGAATAACCTTCATTTCATTGAATTCGGTAATAACAAAAAATTGACCCACCATAGAAAACTAGCCAAAATAAATTTAATAAATACACTGTATGAAACTTTTATGGTACCATCCTGATTAAGTTTAGATGATCTATATTATTATTACATACCTGGTCCCAGACACTATATATGAGGAGTATTTGAAAATATCATGTCTTCAAGAGAGGAATTTTCAAGCAGCTTTTTAAAAGGACGTGTACTTAATAATATTATTTTCATACAAATACAACAAGATAATCAAAAAAATAAATGCATTATACTGGTTGATCAGTAAAATTGATGAACATCGTTGTACATTTGCAATTCAATTGTTTCTTACATTCTTACGGCAAAGGAAGGATAAACACTGCTGCACAGACAGAACATCAAATGAAAATTTAATTTCCATCACCAACCGCGTGCGGACAGCCGCCGCATGATCGTTATATACTTCCGTTCGATCGCAAGCCACGCGATCGAACAACCGGAAAAATCAATAATCGAACAAGCCACGTGGAGCTATGTACTACTACTACACCCACAGGCGTACATCACTTGTCCCTATAGCCATCGAGCCTGGGAAAATCAATCGATGGAGCCCCCGATCATGATTACATATTACATGGGCTTTTCAACGAGCAAAAGGTACACGCGCGCGTTGCACCAAAGTCAGAGAGACGTGTAGGAAATAAGGGCAAAGGGGGTGGAGGGTAAGAAAAAAAAAAAAAAATGAATAAATAAACGAGTGGATGAACGGATGAGTAAATTAACGACCGAATAGACAAGCGTGGGTCTAACTACGAGACCAATAAAAGCTTCAGTCGCATTATTAACTAGACTCTTGATGCTTCATCGTCGTCGTACTTAGCTGCCAAAACGACAAAGCTTGCATTTCATTTTAAGCCACCTATACAGTCTCGAGAGCATTGATTATTGACATTCTTCTTTTCTCGACATAATTTATACATATACTTACACAAACGAAAACCACCGCTGTACAATAACTAATGTTTTATATTGTTACGTGTGCTGCATATTCTAATGAATCACGGGAATAAGAGCTCATGTACATTGAATGTGACAAAATGTAGTACAAATGGAAAAACATTATTTTATTTTATTTTTAAAAATTATTTTTATTATAATATCATCACACAGCTATAATTATATTATTGTGATTATTAAAACGATTGACTCTCATGATTGTAACTACCATGATTTTATTTGTAAATGTAAAATTATTTGGTTGTTTAAAATCATTTGATAATACATGTCAAAGATACTCGAATTGTATTTATTTACTGACTCCTGTACCATGAATTAATTTTTTCATTGTTTATTTCAACAATAACACTTACATACTATAAACTCTGTTAGGCAACAATTTTGTTTAGTTTGCCTATTGGATCACATATATTAAACTTGTTTATAATACACTGGGCGTGTGATGTATAAATAAAATTCAATATATTTGAAAACAAAAAAGTAACAAAAATAATTTCAGTTATTGGTTGAATAAATTGGCCTTTACGTGTTCCATCCATTGATCTATCTGGAACCTTAAAGATCCAGGTTCGACTGTTTTTTTTGGGGAGTTGGGTATTATGTCATCTAAAAAAAAAAAAAAAAATATGAAAAAATAATGATTGTATAAAAAATCACACAGAAATAAACTTGTAAGAACACCCAAAACGCATGCAGGTAGGTACATATTTTGGAACAACGAACAAACTTTTATTAAACAGAAATTCAGGACAAATGACAAACTGAATTACACAGCATAGCATTGATTGGATAAGGACACAAAATATTGTGTTTACAGCATGCAAGTGTTAATGAAAACCAAAGGAAGTCTTGGATAAATAGGAAAATATGCAACGAGTAGACAATAGCATCGCAGAGGTATTGGATAAGCAGGATCGACGCACACAGAGGTAGGTTTCCAAACTACAGCTACAGCCGAATGGATCGAAAAGTCGTTTTGGAGGGACCAGAGGAAGAGGAGACAGTGCTCCTAGGCAACCGGGAGCTGACCTTGAGCCTCGGCTTTCCAGCTTGTTTGCTCTTGCGGACATTACCGTGTGTTTCACTGTCAGTAGGATCCAGGGTGGCCGGATCGGGCCGATTTTCTTTGTCGGTATCCCCATTGAATGGCACCGTGCGACCGAGATCGATTCCACTGTCAATGTTGCTGCTGTCCTGTCCCATGTGCTGTTCCCATTGAGGCATGATGTTTCCAACATCTTCAACGTACGTGAGACGTCGAGGCTGCAGGTTATGCCGGTCCACCCGGCGTAAGGGCTTTTTTCGCGGTGCTGTAGGTGTCCGTGGCACGACACGACTGTCCGGAGGCGTTCGCAAGGTCTAAAAGGGACATGGTAAACACCCAAAAGGCACAAGCTTTAGGTTAGGTCGACTGTTGTTGTTGTTGTTGTGCTCTTTCTGTTTGTCTCTCTTTCTCTTTCCTAGTCAGTCCTCAAAGTCTTGGTTTTGGAGAATAGAGCATGGAGCTGCCGTAAGAGCACACGCGCAACTCCTAACGTTTTTAAGATAAATTTAAATGTAAGGATGGTATTTCTCACCCGTAACTCTAAGTCGAGAGAGGCATCTTGGTTCCCAAGCGACGACGTAACCTGCGACCGGGCACTGTTCATCCTTCGATCGAATAAATCAACCGAAATCAAGGGCTCTGATAAATAATTACTCACTAATAACACGTACACGCACACAAACACTTGGTAACAGCTTTTATGTTTAAGCTTGTACTTAGTTACTTATTTGCCGTATAAAAAATCTACGAAATAACGTGTGTACGCGAGTTATCAATAGCACATCACTATTTCTTATCTACACACATTTGTACAGGCACAGCTAACAGTCGTTGTTGGTGTCAAGTTTTCGACATCGTTAAAAATTAATACCATCGCGTAAGTACGTAGGTGTACATAATATAGCATCAGCCGGCCGGTTGCAGCACATAAATAATTGTAATAAAGCACAAATACTAGACAATCGAGCTAAATGAGAGCAAAATTATATTCGATAGGTGTGATAAGCTTGGTAAAGACGTATTGGTAATTATATAGGTACCTACAATACCTAATAGATGTGTTGTTAAACTAAAGGCAGTGTTACAGTTTACAGTAGTGTATGCCGGTAGTGTGTTCATGTAAGTTTATGCATGTTCATAGGAAATAGGAACATTAGGAACTAATTAAATATGTTTGTTCAATTACCCAGATGGGGGTGATCCGAGTGCCTGCATGTTTTGGGTATTTTTTTGCGGTCATTAGTTCAACAAAACGTATGTATGTACCTTTTATCGTGATCATTGATTAATGAGGGACCCTCATCGAGGGTTATTCTACCGTCAGGTGGCGATAATGTGTCCACGTAAGATTTCCACAGAAGTATATATAACTATATATGCATTCAATATACATAGATATTGTTCTGTGAAAATGGAAAAGATAGATAGTATCTTTATTGGCATGAAATATACATATACAGCCAGAGTAAATTACAGAGATTTTTACATCGATTCTTAAGTAGTACGGTTTTATACAAAGTTGTTCGCTGGCACTTAGATATTATTTGTAATAAGTAGAAAATAAAAATAATAGTAAGTAAATAATAAATTTTATGATCATTTCTCGCTCAGTTTTCAATCAGCGCCATCTCGCGTTGCGGATTTTGAGTTAAAAAGTATCCCTATTCTCGGAAAATCCTCCGCCAGACAGCGCTAGTGATAGAACTGCAAAAAGTCACTAGCCTAGTGACTTTTTTAAGTTAAAATCAGCCGCGCGAGATGGCGCTGATTGCAAAACGTGTATGAAAATATTTTTTACATATATTTTCTAAATTTTTACAAAATTTGGGTTAATAAATTTAAACAATCGTGATAGTAACAACGTTTGCATACTTAATTCTATTTATAAAATACTTAAATAGACTGTACAAGGTATGTAAGAGTTAAAAAAATCAATAAATGAATAAAAGATTGAAAACATTATTACAATTAATTTTTTGTGTCATTAATCTCCAACAGTTTAATGAAATACATAATGTATTTACAAACTCTAAACAACTAGTTTTAAATCGTAGAGTTTTGGAGCATATACAAATAGTTAAAGTACCCAGATAAATTTTTAACAGTTTTGTCGCGCCAATTC